TAGGATGAGGGAGAGTGGGACCACATGCAGCAAAGAAGGCCATGGATGGATTTGTGGGATGGAAATCAACATGGTACATCATCCTTAAGAAATTGTCTCACAAGGTGGCGTTTTTGGTAGCTTTAGTTTTACAGCTGACGCCCCCTTTAGGACATTTTTAAGATGATGAATTTGGCTTTGGGACTTCTTGCAAAGACAAACATTTGAATTTTAAAAGCAGCTCCTTTGCCATACATATCCAGGTAACCTTTTATGTAGGAATTTTCCTTAACAAAATCATGAGAACTAGCATAACTTGTTAAAAATAAGGAAATATACAGCAGGTGTTGATTATACTAAAGTGGTGGCTTGACATATCCATCTCCAACCTGGTTTTCTGGTGTGTTGCACGCGAAGGTATTGCTCTCTTGTGTCACTGAACCTGATCAAATAAAGCCAAAGCTATCATAAAGCCAGGGTCACAGACCAAATGACAAACTTAATCTGCAGCAAAGCCCGTCTTAGCAAGATGATTTGGGCCTGCGGCTCAATAGTTTAACAACCATTTGCTTCCATATTCACAAATCACCTCTTAGCGGAAAAGCTGGCGTTAAGGGATCAGCAGCTGTGGCTCTCAGAGGGGGGCAAGTAAGCAAGTCTCAGGTGTGTTTCTCAATGTCGAGGAAGGCTCCTCTAGAGCCACTATTTTCAAGAATGCTAACATCATCGAATCCCGCCGAAGGACTTTCCAATGTCCAGGATCCTTGGAATTCTACCGAGGACTGAATCCTTCGTTTGCGGGAAATATCGAGGATGCACCGGTGTCATCCTCCGCCCAGTCTTAAAATCCCCACAACATTTAAGGCGGCCTCTCATATTGACGCATACCTTGCACACGTTGCCTAGCCTGTTCCATCTTTGTTCTCAAATGCCAGGAAGCGATTCTTGCTAGCTTCTGAAGGACTGGACTCAGAGACATGTCCTCCAAGGAAAGCATACTCGAACATTTTGAGAAACCACCACAGTGTCATTTGTTCATATAAAACAACCATTTCATTTGGGTAATGATATAAAGGAAAGCAGTAGACAAAATATGTAAAAAAAAAAGGGAAAATAGCTGTATGTCACTGCAAATAAAGTGAAGGGTTTATTTATGAAAGACAGCTCAATATATCACATTATTATAATTTATTTGTAGCTGAGAAAGCAAAAGTGTATGTTTTATGCTTTGTTTGAACTGCACACATGCCATATTATTAAAGGATCGCCATGTTCATGGCCATTCCTACTGTTCATAATTTCCATTTCGTTGAGGTATACTAAAATAGATTTATATTGGCTGCAATTTTCCAAATCTCATTGGTTTTCTCATACGGCATCTCTGTATAGTTATGTGGTATTCACTCAGTCCTAAACGGCTTTGTTGGAGCTCCTCCCCCCCCCCCTCCCTGTGAGCCCAGTGGCCGTCTGCGAGACAGCGAGACACAGCGAAACCCAGCCCGAACACACACACCCGCAGCCTGGCTGGGTGTTTGTGTGTGTGCTCACACACCGACTCACAGCCTCGCTGCGTCCCGCCGTCTCAGGGAGGAGAAATCGGCGGAGCTGCAGCTGAGAAAAGATTGAGTATGTGTGTGTGAGGAAGCAACGTAACGGCACCACGGAGGGGTCGTCGTTACGTCACTTGGTTCCTGGAAGAAAAAATTGAAAAAGAAATGTCCAACGAGGCGTTCTGGGGCAGCATAGACACGTCTTTTCTGTGTTAGAGTTCTACTCGCTACAGGGTGTACTTTGAGGGTTTGTGACTTTGCAGACCGTTTACATGCAGAAAAACCTTCATAACACACAAGGGGACGGGTAATAACGGAAAAGCATGACATGGGACCTTTAACATTCATTGAATTGCTGGGTGTATCTTAAAATGTATACCTTAAATTAAAGTACTGATTATCATATTTAAGGGTTTCCTAACAAAGTCAGTGTCAGTGTAATTCTCCGAGGTGGGTTTCCTGAACAGAGTGATCATCTGTTTCTACCCTCAGCAGCCCTCCCCTTAGTAGATGTCACGTAGGGCAAATGTGCAAGACCAGCACTCCATTATTGTGTTACACTTATTTAAAGCTCCTCCAATAGCTGGGATCTACTTAAAGGCTTTTTGTAGGATAGTGGACAAATAGGACGCACACACACACAGTGTGTCAGTGGGCTCTGTGACAATACTACTATCTGGCATTACCAGTTAAGTCTGTGCAATATCCTCGTGATATGAATGCGTGTGGGAGAGTGGGTTGAAAGTTCTTTGTATGTATGTATGTGTGTGACGTGTATGTCTGTGAGTGAGTGAGTGAGTGAGTGAGTGAGTGAGTGAGTGAGTGAGTGAGTGAGTGAGTGAGTGTGTGTGTGTGTGTGTGTGTGTGTGCCATTATGTGTGGGTAGTAGGTACATTGATGCCTTAACATGTTTGTGTGTTTAATGGTGAATTCGGCCTTTGATATTCTGGCAAAACTATCTAGGGCCGAGTGGATTTGCGAATTGAGCACATTACAAATACAAAGCAGCGTGCAGTGTACTGGACAGTATTTCCCTGCCCCCACCAACAGTCTCCAGGCTGTCAGGGAGGCCAAACAGATAAGGCAGTGGAGGCATGGATTAAGGGTTAAAGGGGAACAGCAGCATATGGTGCCCCCTGATATCCATGCCCCTTATATAGTTGTTAGACTAACACCGCCCACGTGGTCGCCACGAGAAGCACGTCTCACTGGGTGTAAGAAAACATTTCTCATCCCTTATTTCTTTAACCATTAAAGTTTAGAATATACTCTTAAGAAGTTTTAGTAGTCAAAGGTTCATTAAGTTGTGAAATACATGCATATATACAGTAAATCTAAGTTTCAACAGAATGTAATGCGCAGAACTTTAGCAATGAAATATTTTTATAAAGGTTTTCTATGCCTCAGTGTTCTATGTGTGTATGTACATAGTAGGATGGGGGAGGGTTGTATATGTTTGTGTGGTATTGCAAACGT